ATAATTTCGGTAAAGAATAAATAAAAAAAATAGCAAGGGATGGCTCACCCCAAAATTCAATTCTGTCATCATTTACTCACCCTCACGTAGTTTCAAACCTGTATAACTTACTTTCTTTTGTGGAACATAGAAGCTATTTTGAAGACGGTTGGTAGCAAAGCTGATGAAAGCTACCATGACTTTCATTGCGTGAACAAAAAAATACTGAGATTTTTCTTAAATCACCTTCTTTTATGTTCCATAGTTTATGTTAGGCTGTTGTAGCCTACATGTTTATGTGTAATCAATTTTATGTTGAATCAAATAAAATATTTCTTTCTAAAGCTACTATTTAATGTTTACTTGATACTTTTCTCATTTAACACAATAATAGCTTAAAATGATCTTTTGTGGGTATTTTCAAAGCCAAATTTAGTTTGCGATTAATTAAATGAATCGCCACATCATGTAATTAATTAGATTGCTCGTCCCACATTTTGAAAACCTCTAAATTAAGCATTTATATCTGCATTTGCGTACTTGTGGCCAGTATGTTTCTGGTATAAGATACTATATATACATTTACATTTATCTGATGCTATTCAGAGTAGCTTACAAAACAGTGTAAGATTAAGCACAATGTGGTGCTTAAGGGATCTGCTGGAGAGCCAGGTAAAGCGGGGATTTGGAGGGGCATGAGGTTGCTACTATAGGGAAACTGGACAAAGCTTTAGACCATTTGTGAAGATTTATTATCACAATTTCACCAAATTTGGAGCTACAGTATTGTGCTGATGTAAATGTTCTTGTCAGCCACCAGCAGCTGATGTGCTGTATATTACACACCATTAGCTTTTGAGAATCACAGAAGTGAAAGATGATGAAGATGGAGATGTTGAAGGCCTCCTAGGCTGTATTCATGTTTTTGATATGTAAATAAATACATTGTTTATGTAGAGCACATGAGATGTCTTCATTAATTGGGTTTGAATATGAAATGACACTGAGATATATACTAGGGCTGGGTGATATGTTATAAATAGTTTCTGAATATTTTATCCAATTACATTATGTAAAACCATTGTCTCTGCTTTCAACCCAACTACAGTAAAGCAACAATTCTGTCTGTGTAATTTTGATGCATTAAAACATCTTGCTTTTAATGCGTTCATTTTAGTTTGTTCATCATGGGTCACAGTCTGTTCCATTGTATCAAATATAACAAGTATCACTGTGTACCGTGGCCAGCCTACTGATGAATACAGGTTGATGTCATAAAGCCATGTGCTTTAAATCAGCAGCTTTTAATAATGACATATGTGTGCTCACTTATTACTTTAGCATTTCACAATAATGTATTTTCCCAACAGGCTGTATTTTCTTATTTATGAATATATATATATATATAAGTATAAGTTTTTGTGCCCCCAATCCCATCCATGTCATTTTAAATTAAGTATCTGCCAATACTGTGTGCTGATCAGATATCTGTATTTTCCTAGTGTTTTAAGTTATCAAGTTCAATCCAGTGTATATGCTTGACAAAAAGCTCTGCAATGCATTGGGAAATAAACTACTGTAAAAATTTTGTTCCTTATCGGTTTTGTTTGTTTATTTATTTATTTTAAAATAGTGCTAGGCCGAGGGACTGAGAGTGTGCAGGTTTGCAGATGCTACTGACATTACATCAAGTATAATTTGATTTGTATCCACATCTTTATTTGTTTGATTCATTTTTATATTAATTTGCAGTATTTTTGTCCTCTCCATCTCTGTTGAGCGAGCTGGAAGTCTTACCGTAATGATTCTTGAAAATGTGCACCTTAAAATCCATATTTTTATTTATTTAGTCATTTATTAGATGCTTTTATCCAAAGCGACTTACAAATGAGGACAGCAGAAGCAATCAATTGTAGTATTAAAACAACTAAAAACAGATCCAAAACTAAAAGCTAAAACTTTATAAATACTACCTATACACATTTTAAAAATAAAGAGATTAAATAAAAATGACAAATGCATACAATAAAATTTCAAAACGTAACATTTAAATGAAAAAAATAAAATAAAGCTAAAAACAATTCAAAATATTAAAGAACAAAAGGTATAAGAGTATAATAATAATTCTAACATAACACTAAGCCAAACACCAAAAAACCAACTACATTATATGTGTATGTACAACCACACAAACATACATATATATATACTGTATATGTACATACACATTTATAAATTCAATATATATATTATTTCATTTCCATTTAGTTAGTTGAGGTATTAAAATAACTCAAATTAAATAAAACTAAAAACTTAATAAAAGACCTATACAGACATAATAAATTCAGACATAATGTAACTAAAATTAAAATAAATAACAAATACAAATAATACAAATCAAATAACAGTAGTTTATCAGTAATCCTAAAAAAATAACACTGCTAAACACACATGCTAAAAAACAACAACTTATAAATAAGTTGTTGCTTTTCATATGCTTTTAATACTTATATTTTTCAGACAAACTGGCTTATTTGTCTAAATTAGAGTCACACATGAATTTGTGAAGTTGCAAATGCTCACAACTGCCAATAATTCTCACTTTAGTGAACATGATATCAGGCTTTGAGGGCTGAGCAAGTGCTTGTTCTTTCATTAGAGCAGTGCGGTGTCACGATTCGTTGTGGCAAGGAGAACGAGTCTCAAACTTCACTTGAATAAAGTTTAATACTGAAAACGGAGGGTACATACAACTCAGGAGCAAAATCAAACAACTAGTAACAAAGTTGACCGGACAAGGAATGAAGGAACTAATATACATTGGATAATTGACAAAACAGGTGCATAGAATAATCAATCAACTCAACAAGAACAGGAAAATGACCATAAAAGGAAACTCAGGAACAAGGACAGGGAAAAACAGGTCCACAACACTGACATGCGGTTTTGTGTGTACCACAATAAAAAAAGATCAGCCCTGAATTTAGGCAGGTTGGCCAATCTCCAATCATAGTATCAAGATGCCTATTGGCCGATAAAGATTGGTAGCCAGTAAATATGAATATCCTTAATAACTAGAAATGAAAAAAATATGAACAAACATATTTGACTGTAATGCTTAGTCATTTTCTCACTGTATTGTTGCTTGATTAATAATACTAGACACACTAGACAGCAGCAGGTCTGTTCTTTCTTTTGAATGGAAATAAAACGCATATATATATATATATATATATATATGATTTTTGTCTCATTACACTGCATTCCAAGACGAAGCTCAAACACACTGAAATGTTTGCAGTAAATTGTAATTAGTATGTTAATCAAGCATTCTTCCCATCAGTGACCACTCCTGTTGAGTTGAGTTGGTTTTTCCTGTCAGTCTGAGTCTGTTCTAACAGGCAGCAGAAATGGCCTGTGGCTCTTTCAATGTTCTTGTGGCCTAGAGACGTCGGGATCTCTCTCTCACACTCTTTTACTCTGGCCATATAGTGCCCTGCAGCAGATCTGATAAGCCAGTAGATCGTGTCCCACACTGGTGGCAGCAGTTGAAAGCCCTGATCTGCAGTCAGCCAGAGGGCTGGGAGGCTCACACAAAAATCCTGCTCATGCCACATCAAAACATGCTTCCCAAAATACATGAGAAGAAAGACGCCGCTTCAGGAATGACCAGCGGCCATCGTGAAGAAAGTTTCAGCTGCACTTTGTGTTTGTGTAAGCGTAGGTGTGTGCTTACTCCTCTCTTGTGTGTGCGAGTTTGACAACCTGAAGAGCCCGGGACACATGTTCTAACAGGCCACTAAAGAAAAATGTTGAACTTTTGATCCCAGAAATATTGAGGCACATTAAAAGCCTGAGGTTGCACTAAGTGAGGGAAGTTAATTAATGGTGCCTGCTGCTGTAAGGGGTGGCAATCAAGATGACTCACGAATCACTCTTGAACTCATGAGTAATTGTTTTATATTGGTCCTCAAGATACTGAAAGAAATGCAAATGTATGTAATAAAAAATGCATTAAGTAGAATCAGAACTGGAACCATACAGTACACTCCATACGATTCCCATGTGTGTTGAAATACTAATGAGGACTGTTCAAATGTCATTATGTGTGTGTACTTTGTTATCTTCCTCTACCTGCCGTTTCCTGTCCAGTATTATTCATCTGTGTCCTTCTGAACAGATGGGCTCTTTCATCAGTGTCTCACAGCACAATACATGTCGTTTTGTGTTTGCTCTGAACAGATTCTTAACTGACTCTTTTAATGACTGATCTTAAAAACAAAAAAGACTGGAGGTGTTTCTCTGTTGGTGTAGAGGAAACGTAACACTGTAATTCAGACATTTCTATGCTTTGGCTTTTTGTAAATGGGTCATGTCATGAAAAACATTGACAACTTTTTCTCCAGTCAACCCAGACTGAAACAAAAAACACCAAAAGGGCTTAGAAATTATTATTATTATAGTTATGACATCACTGCATTGAGCTTGTTAACATACGACCATCCACATTTACATATTAAGACCTTTTCAGTATTGAGCTGATAAATGCCATTGTGAACTACACCATCATTGCAGAAGCTTGTCAATCATTTACATGTAGAAGTCTTAATCAGCCTGTTTAATTTGAATGGTCAGAGAGAAAAATTAAATTAATTAGGCATAATTGTGTTAAATTATGTTTTTGGTGCAAGAAACCTTCATTAACATGGTCACACTTTATTTTAAGGTCCAATTCTCGCTATTAACAAACCATTAACTACGACTTTTGCCTCAATAAACTCCTAATTTGCTGCTTATTAATAGTTAGTATGGTAGTTGTTAAGTTTAGGTATCGGGTAGGATTAGTGATGTAGAACATGGTCATACAGAATATGTGCTTTACAAGTACTAATAAACAGCCAATATGTTAATAATAGGCATGCTAATAAGCAACTAGCTAATAGTGACAATTGGTCCCTATACTAAAGTGTTACCATTTGCATTATACATAGAATTTCATTTCATCTGTTCTTCGTTTGTAGATTGAGCTGAGGACTAAAGTCTTGGAGGCCAAACATCAAGAGGATACACTGAGGATGCAGCAGAAACATGATGCAGAGATTCAGAAGGTGAATCAGTTGACCTGTCAAGTATTTTATAAGGGATTCTTCACCCAAAAATTCTCTCATCATTTACGCACCCTCATACAATGCCAGATGTATATGACTTGTTTCTTCAGATGAACACAAAGAATGATTTTTGGAAAAATAGTCTCTGTGGGTCAATGTAATGCAAATGTACAGGTTTAAATGTTCGGGTTTATAGTTTAAAAGGTTAAAATGTAAGCCCACTTGCATTATATGGACAGAAATTGATTATTTATGTTTATAAAACATTCTTGGTTTTCATCTGAAAAAAGGAAGTAATTTTCATCTGGAACAGCGTTTTGGTTTTTGGATGGAGTATCCCTTCAAGCTGATATTCCACATCTTCTCCTTCAAACTATGTACAAACTAAAGTTTATATAATATGTAAAAAAGCCATGCAATTTTTTAAATAACAAAATTATTAATTATATTAAACACAAGAAGATTAGAACCACAAACCAAGTTCAAAATTCCAAGTTCAGCCCAGTTTGCAGTTAATAGTGGAGAAAATGGAAGATGATGAGTTTATAATGACAAGTATACTGATGATACACAGATTGACTGCTCACATCTTGCAAGTTGGGTTCTGCAAACATCCCAGACGACTGTCTCACTCATTAAAATGTATTGTTTTAGTGATACTGATTTTATGTGCATGTGCTGTGTCAGTATTTCCTCTGTTACTTCCACATTTATTGTCTTTTTCATTCAGTCCCAGTGACATCACACCTTAATTCTGCTTTAATAAAGTCTATTAAATGGCCTAGGTCTACAGATGTTTATGTATCCCCGTAATTCAGACATTTCTATGCTTTGGCTTTTTGTAAATGGGTCATGTCATGAAAAACATTGACAACTTTTTCTCCAGTCAACCCAGACTGAAACAAAAAACACCAAAAGGGCTTAGAAATTATTATTATTATAGTTATGACATCACTGCATTGAGCTTGTTAACATACGACCATCCACATTTACATATTAAGACCTTTTCAGTATTGAGCTGATAAATGCCATTGTGAACTACACCATCATTGCAGAAGCTTGTCAATCATTTACATGTAGAAGTCTTAATCAGCCTGTTTAATTTGAATGGTCAGAGAGAAAAATTAAATTAATTAGGCATAATTGTGTTAAATTATGTTTTTGGTGCAAGAAACCTTCATTAACATGGTCACACTTTATTTTAAGGTCCAATTCTCGCTATTAACAAACCATTAACTACGACTTTTGCCTCAATAAACTCCTAATTTGCTGCTTATTAATAGTTAGTATGGTAGTTGTTAAGTTTAGGTATCGGGTAGGATTAGTGATGTAGAACATGGTCATACAGAATATGTGCTTTACAAGTACTAATAAACAGCCAATATGTTAATAATAGGCATGCTAATAAGCAACTAGCTAATAGTGACAATTGGTCCCTATACTAAAGTGTTACCATTTGCATTATACATAGAATTTCATTTCATCTGTTCTTCGTTTGTAGATTGAGCTGAGGACTAAAGTCTTGGAGGCCAAACATCAAGAGGATACACTGAGGATGCAGCAGAAACATGATGCAGAGATTCAGAAGGTGAATCAGTTGACCTGTCAAGTATTTTATAAGGGATTCTTCACCCAAAAATTCTCTCATCATTTACGCACCCTCATACAATGCCAGATGTATATGAATTGTTTCTTCAGATGAACACAAAGAATGATTTTTGGAAAAATAGTCTCTGTGGGTCAATGTAATGCAAATGTACAGGTTTAAATGTTCGGGTTTATAGTTTAAAAGGTTAAAATGTAAGCCCACTTGCATTATATGGACAGAAATTGATTATTTATGTTTATAAAACATTCTTGGTTTTCATCTGAAAAAGGAAGTAATTTTCATCTGGAACAGCGTTTTGGTTTTTGGATGGAGTATCCCTTCAAGCTGATATTCCACATCTTCTCCTTCAAACTATGTACAAACTAAAGTTTATATAATATGTAAAAAAGCCATGCAATTTTTTAAATAACAAAATGATTAATTATATTAAACACAAGAAGATTAGAACCACAAACCAAGTTCAAAATTCCAAGTTCAGCCCAGTTTGCAGTTAATAGTGGAGAAAATGGAAGATGATGAATTTATAATGACAAGTATACTGATGATACACAGATTGACTGCTCACATCTTGCAAGTTGGGTTCTGCAAACATCCCAGACGACTGTCTCACTCATTAAAATGTATTGTTTTAGTGATACTGATTTTATGTGCATGTGCTGTGTCAGTATTTCCTCTGTTACTTCCACATTTATTGTCTTTTTCATTCAGTCCCAGTGACATCACACCTTAATTCTGCTTTAATAAAGTCTATTAAATGGCCTAGGTCTACAGATGTTTATGTATCCCCACCCCTTTATAAGCAGAAACATGATTCTTGGCAGACTGTTGTCTTTCACGGCATCCCTAAAAGTCCAACGGCCTCTGGACCTCGTCCTCGACACTCTGTTATGACTCTGCTGTCTGTCTGAAAAGAGCTCTTTAAGGAGACGATGGGAAAATTGTGTGTCCCTAAATGTTCCACGAACTTCCCTTTAACCTCCCTAACACCCTCTCTTTCCCTCACTCTCAGCTGCAAGCTTTCATCTTTCACAGGCGACCGGCTTGCAGGATGATGAGCTTAGCGACAGAGTGCACTTCTGACGGACAAAAAGCAGGATAAATAATCCACTGATGGGCTCACTGACTTTTCAGAGGGAAAAAATAATAACTTTTGGGAGGTATTTTTGGTTTGAATGAAGTTGCATCTGCGTTTGAAGGACCAGCTCTGAAATGGTCCTCTTGTCAGTGATGTCCATGCTCTCTTCACTAAATACTGCTGTATTAGGCCTCATGAGGGACCATCACCCCCAACCTCAGAGAGTACATCTGTAAATAGGAGCTCTTACTGCTGCCGAAGGCCTTTGAAGACTATTCTTGTTTAGTTTCTCAAATGGTTTTGAACCTCAATAGCTTCCTGTGAATCTTTCATGAATTCGCCATTCTTTGCAATCAACATTACATGAAATCTTAATTGGTTCATAAGACATTCTTTTGTTGGTGATTGTGTCTGCTTTGCTCTTAATGAGCACTGTTGTTTAGTTCTGAAATACTCAGATGTGCTTGTTCGGAGAATGTCAATATTTGCTCAGGTGCATCTTTCTTTGAAGACCCTATAAACACCACACACACGCGGTGCAGTGGTGTCCGTTGGTGGGCTCGCTTGAGTCCAGGGGCGAGCGGGCCGGTGCGTGTGCCCTGTCATGTCCTCCGAGCCATTGATCTCCGTAGGGTCCTTTGAGATTTACAGACCCCTGATTGCAACGCCGCTGTCCACCCTCACTGAGACAATCGCCGACAGCCTTTGAACTCCCACTCGGACACAGACGGCTTGTAGAAGGTCAGGCCATCAAAGGAGTTACAGCGGTCTCAACAAACGGCTCTCTGCTGTGCAGCGGCCGCATCAGATAAAACACATTTCTGAAATGCCCGCCCGCCTCCCGCCTTACCTTGAGCCCAGGCATCTTATCGCCCACAGCTCAAGGCACAAGACTGGACCGCCGCTTGGGAACAAGCCCAGCAGATCTGCTGTTTATTTGGAGCTTGCTAAATGCAGGTTGCACTTGGCTCCCTCCCGCCACGAAGGATTTCTAAATTCCTTGGGTTCATCAAATGCCTGCACTGTGTGGCACAATGGGCGGATTGTCAAGGACTCGCAGAACCGGTCCATTGGAGTCTGGGAGCCCACTGCCGAGGTCTTTGAGAGATGAGGGACAAGGTCATGAGTGAGTTCCTCAAAGCTGTGGCTCAAGTCCTCTCAGATACGGGCAACACTCATTCATGCTTCCGAGAGTCTGGAATGTTAACACTCAACATGCTCCTGAGACACGTAACACTGTTTTCACTGAAGAGATTGCTCCATTTTCTTTTATCCCTATTCCTTTTTTTGTTTCCATTTATAATGCAAAATCTTTCACAAAATATAATTCCATCAGAAAACTTCAATGAGTAATTTTTTAAAATCTAGTTTATCTATTTATTTGGTATCTTTTGCTATTAAACATGCTTTTGTGAGAAGTGGTGGAGATTTCGATTCAGTCAAGAGATTGAACCAAAAGATTAGGGCTGGGCGATATAGCAAAAAAATTTATCAACGATATAATGTTTCATATCGTATGGTATCGATAATTATTGACATTTTGTATAATCTTTTTTTAAAACAAAAAGCAATAGAATTTTTTTTTTAATTTAACCACTGTATTTATAATTAACAATTTATTGAGACAAACAACAAATATTTTTTTGTTGTAACAACAAAAATAATGAGCAAAATAATGTAGCGTATTTAAATTGTCAACGCAAGGAAGTAACTCTATAAAAACGTGCATTACGTCTAAATTAATTCATAAAAATCAAATATAATTTCGTAAATTGCATAAACAATTATGAACAAAACAGAATCATGTATTTATGCATCGGATTAGGGCTGGGCGATGTAGCAAAAAAATGTATCAACGATATAATGTTTCATATCGTTTGGTATCGATAATTATTGACATTTTGTATAATCTTTTTTTAAAACAAAAAGCAATAGAATTTTTTTTTAAATTTAACCACTGTATTTATAATTAACAATTTATTGAGACAAACAACAAATATTTTTTTGTTGTAACAACAAAAATAATGAGCAAAATAATGTAGCGTATTTAAATTGTCAACGCAAGGAAGTAACTCTATAAAAACGTGCATTACGTCTAAATTAATTCATAAAAATCAAATATAATTTCGTAAATTGCATAAACAATTATGAACAAAACAGAATCATGTATTTATGCATCGCTTAATCTAAAGAGCCGAAGCGCAATTCACACAGACTGCATTTCAAAACATATGAGACGCAGTGAAAAGGAATAAACCTCCACAAATTCGTGACGTGTTTTCTAAAAGTTTAAACTGTTTTAACTTTGCATGGCTTTCTATACATCTATTGTGTGAGACGCGAGTGCAGCAGTCATATGTCCGTCTAAAAAATGCGCTGAATATGCGTTCTGTGTGAATGGCTTGGTTTCGGTTTTAACCCATTCAAGATCTTCTCCGCATTGAGCTTCTATATTTCTCTAATATTTTGAATGAATAACGCAACAGCTCGTGGGTTAGACTAACAAAACATTAAAATGCAACAAGGTAATGTACATCATCACCGCATCTCGAACGCCACTGATGACGCTCCCTGATGCACACCTAACATTCAAATGCAATTGTTTATTTTAAATTCGACTAATATTCATTCTTTATTCACAATCTCCTCATCACAGGCAGGCACAGCACTCATTTCAGCATGTGTTCGTGTTTGTGTGTGCTGTCTGCGTCACTCATACTATGTGCCTATATCGTGCGCTATATCGAAAAAAATTTCTATCGATATCGAAGAAGGTGTACCGTCGATAAATATCGATACCGTTTTATCGCCTAGTCCAAAACAAAAATTTTTGGGGGTCAACTTATACTTTAATTATAATAAATATGTCTGTATACCGTTTTTGTCTTTCTGCACACCAGATGCTCACTGGTACAGTGTTTCTGGTTCTGTGTATTCTCCTCTCTCTCTCTCGCAGTCAGACCTCGGGTGCAGGAGAAGGACATAGATGACAAGGACAGACGACCCACCTGCTTCCCGTTAAGGCCATGTGTTTAATGCAAGAGCAGAACTGGATGTGTGTAACAAGATCCTGTCAAAAGCGACAATATTCTGCCCTTTAGATGGATAGTTAAGCCAAAAAGGAACTTTCTGTCATTATTTACTCTCCCTCATGTCATCCAATCCAGTTTGTGCCTTTTCCAGTATAATAATAATGTAATTAATTTACGCATTTAGCAGACGCTTTCATCCAAAGCGACTTACAGTGCATTCAGGCTATACATTTTTTACCAGTATGCGTGTTCCCTGGGAATTGAACTCACAACCTTTATACACACACACACACACACACACACACACACACACACACAATGAGTAATTTTTTAAAATCTAGTTTATCTATTTATTTGGTATCTTTTGCTATTAAACATGCTTTTGTGAGAAGTGGTGGAGATTTCGATTCAGTCAAGAGATTGAACCAAAAGATTAGGGCTGGGCGATGTAGCAAAAAAATGTATCAACGATATAATGTTTCATATCGTTTGGTATCGATAATTATTGACATTTTGTATAATCTTTTTTTAAAACAAAAAGCAATAGAATTTTTTTTTAAATTTAACCACTGTATTTATAATTAACAATTTATTGAGACAAACAACAAATATTTTTTTGTTGTAACAACAAAAATAATGAGCAAAATAATGTAGCGTATTTAAATTGTCAACGCAAGGAAGTAACTCTATAAAAATCAAATATAATTTCGTAAATTGCATAAACAATTATGAACAAGACAGAATCATGTATTTATGCATTGCTTAATCTAAAGAGCCGAAGCGCAATTCACACAGACTGCATTTCAAAACATATGAGACGCAGTGAAAAGGAATAAACCTCCACAAATTCGTGACGTGTTTTCTAAAAGTTTAAACTGTTTTAACTTTGCATGGCTTTCTATACATCTATTGTGTGAGACGCGAGTGCAGCAGTCATATGTCCGTCTAAAAAATGCGCTGAATATGCGTTCTGTGTGAATGGCTTGGTTTCGGTTTTAACCCATTCAAGATCTTCTCCGCATTGAGCTTCTATATTTCTCTAATATTTTGAATGAATAACGCAACAGCTCGTGGGTTAGACTAACAAAACATTAAAATGCAACAAGGTAATGTACATCATCACCGCATCTCGAACGCCACTGATGACGCTCCCTGATGCACACCTAACATTCAAATGCAATTGTTTATTTTAAATTCGACTAATATTCATTCTTTATTCACAATCTCCTCATCACAGGCAGGCACAGCACTCATTTCAGCATGTGTTCGTGTTTGTGTGTGCTGTCTGCGTCACTCATACTATGTGCCTATATCGTGCGCTATATCGAAAAAAATTTCTATCGATATCGAAGAAGGTGTACCGTCGATAAATATCGATACCGTTTTATCGCCCAGGCCTACAAAAGATTAATTCAGATACTGTCGATTACATCATTTAACCAGTAGATTGTGACAAATTAGTTTGTTTTTTTGTGTATTATGAGTGAGTCATTGAATTATTCACTTAGTAGATTCGTTTAGAATCATTCACAACAGAAACAGTCTTGTAAATTATAAAAATTTTACAAAGAGACTCATTTGTCGTTTTGTCATTCGCTCAGTTATGTAATTTTTAATGCAAAAATGACATTGTTTGAGATGTCTTTGTTATGGGCTATGGTTAGGGGTAAGGGTAGGGTTAGGTTAGGGTTAGGTCAAATAATGTCATATTTGCATTAAAAATGACATTACTGAGCGAATGATACTTAATGACAGTTGTCATAAACATGCATAAAACCTCCTTCATATTCATGACATGTGTCATGTCATGATTATGAAGGTGTCATGTCAGTCTTATGCACACCCCTTCAAGTAAAGTGTTACCGTTTTATCATAGGTAGAATGCAAAATGTTTCAATACAAGCATTTCAGTCAAATGTAATTTATGCAATATTTCAAACCTTGAACCCACTTGGGAAAATTAACCCATGGCAACAGTTTAAAAGTAGCCCAATTCTGTGGAAAAAACGCAGACTTGGCAACCCTGCATCCAACAAGAGCTACCGGAGTCAGCTTTGACTGATCACAGGTCAAGAATAAGGAGAGATGACTGACAAGACCATGCTGGAGTATTTGCTGCTCAACAGATTCTGAGCTCATTGACAAAAATCTGATCTTGTAAAATGTGCTTGCTCCCTTTACACAGAATGTGTGTGATCGCGAAATCGAAAGTGAAAGTAAACAGCGCAAATGCTCATTCAAAAATATTTAAATACACCACATCCTGAGAGCGGCTCCCTGATGCGCAAAAATTATACACAATATTAGAATGTTTAAAGGAGTAGACACGAAAATCGCGGGAGCGAAACACATGTTGCGGGAGCAGGCAGCAATGGTCAGAGATTCAGCTGGAGCGGGATTAAGAAAACAGCCGAATCCCGGACATTATGGGCAAATAAGAAATCCCGGCCGGATGCATTTTTGTAGGTCCAAAAAGAGGACATGTCTGGGAAAAGAGGACGTATGGTCACCCTAATTTATTGCTAATCGATGTATTATTTTAAAGTAGCATATAGAACATATTTTCTGCCTCATTCTGTGACAAGAAGCCTCATCAGATCACAAAAGGCAGCATTTGACTGGTGTTGTGGAGTAAAAAGGTTATAATGTTCTCTTTTGTTGGACAACAGGTTTAGAAATGTGAATAAAAGGGAGGTTTAGCTTTAGGCATTTTAATTTTAAGCATGTTTAGCTTAGTTAACGGAAGGATACCTGCTGCAGTCAGAGCAAGTGTAATTACTGCATTCACACGCTCCTCAAATGCGGTTCTAGTACATACCGGTTACATAGGTACCGGTGCCATATTGGTACCGGGTTTCGGTACCCAACCCTATTCATTCAGTACATTCACAAATGACATGTTCCAGTTTGTTTAGGTTGATCGTGAGCAAGTGGCAGTTCATTCAGCCCTGCTCCAAGTCGTTCAGACTCAAAACATAGACTTGTTCAGTGAAGGGCGTATACATTCAGCAGGTCCAACAATTGATATGCTGTTTATATGCTAATGTATGGTAATAATATGCTGTTTGCTCATGCTACAGTCAGTCTTTGAAAGCAGGGAGAAGCAGTCAAGCCCATCAAAAGGGAGAGACTTCAGTGTGTGAAAAATATGTCAGTGCACGGAAGTGAATGATTTGTTTTGTTTATGACCAAAACACTACTTCTTGTCAGTGGGGTCATGGGTATGTCTCCTGTAGTGGTCTTCCTTCCCATAGCATAATGTGAGATTCATACGGGTTTGTCATCCTCTGCTTTAAGCTTACGCTACTGTTACAGATAATATACTTAAGAAAAACCTTCACTGAAGAAAGGGCCAAAAATGGGGATCTTGCCCACCACCCCCAAACCCCCATCTGCTAAACGTCGGCTTCAAAGCAGCAAATTCCAGCATTCAGTGACGCAGGAGAGTGCGAGTTCCTTCATGGTCATGCTTGTGAATAAGAACATTATCCTCTGTAATCTGCAGCCAGCATTAGCTTGTCATATGGAAGCACCACAAACCTCTATTTAAACTGTGTTCCCACTGAAATTTATTTATGGCTCTAAATTAGCTGGAAAGTCTGGAACATAAACGTTCTGTCATCCGTCGTCTCAGTGTCATGAAAGCTTCTTGTTTGTAGAGTTGTTTGATAATGCAAGCATCACTATTACCATTGCTCATGCTTAGGGTTAGTGATCTGAACAAACGTCTAAAAGCCGTGACACAACAAACCGACATCAAAGAACTAGCGATGACGAAAGCCAGCGGTGTTGACTACTCATGTTGCCTGGCATCTGGGCCAAAAAGTTGCGGTAGAAAACAGCGTAAAGACTGCAGCCAACGGCCAACTGGCACATACGTTTTGTGTCTGCATGAGGGGAAATAACCAGCAGGTGGCAGTAGTCTGTATTCATCATTCAAACTTCTGAATAAAATATTGAAATTTGAAACTTCCACATCATTGCGTTCTGTTTTTATTCACAATTTGTACAGTGTCCCAACTTTTTTGGAATCGGGTTTGTACATGGAATGTAATTTTAACTGACAAAATGCTAATTATTTATTGAGAGAACTCTTCAGTCAAATTAATCTTTATTGATGATGACGTTAATGAAAAATAAAGTTTATTTTATTTTATTTATAATAAAATTATTATTTATTATAATTATTATTATTTATATGTATTTAAAACTTCTAAACTTTTCAACATAACCTTTACTGGCTTTCTGCTGTAATACACTTCACCTTAACTTGTAACACAAAGATATTGTATCATTTCTTGTTTTCGTACCCATTGTTGTGTATTATTGTTTTATTTATTTAGTTATTTTTTGAGTCAAGAAGTATGGTGCTGTCCGGGGCAGCCTGGAGTGCGAGCAGACAGAGAGATGCCCTGCGGCCAGGCCTGAATGTTTGTGTCTGCCTCCCTCTCTCCCCTGTAGTTCAAAGCCTGCTGCGAGAGTCCCAGGTCATCCGACAGACCAAAGAGAAACAGATCAGCGAGCTGAAGAAAATGTCTGATCAAAGTGGCGAGTCTCTGAAAAACGAATGGGAGAAGAAGGTAAGGAAGGGTTGAAAAGGCTCAGGTTTCCACTGGCCCGTCCCTCCAGCAGCCGGAGCTTTGAACGCTGAACACTCACTGAGTTTAGAGCTCAGCCAATCCCGTCTGAGTATGAGAAAGAATCCCAAAAATCTATCTTCTCTGAGTGTTCAGTAGATGTGTATGTTTATTGCAGAAATAGAAAAGAAAAGCTCAAGGTTTTCCCAGAGAATCCGGCCCTGCCTTTCTACAGGCTTTTGGTTGAAGGGTATCTTGCTTCAGGCCTTATAAAACATTCTCTTTGTTCTCTGTTTCTAAACATAATATTCTGTAGGACTCATGTTCAGGGTTCAACAATAAGGATGGCCAGATGGTAGTGTGGGATCATAGATCATCTGTTTTTATGTCTTGCAAACTTCAGTAATCTTCTTCAAGTGAAAGCATTTTATAGGAAAAATTGCAAAAATTGGAAAGGAGTGAAAGAGTCTGATACATCCTGTATTTTGTGTGTGTTTGTTCTGGTATGGATATACAGCATTCATTTTGTTTGTTCAGGTCTTCAAAAAAAGTATTTAAAAGCATTACATCTTTAAAAATAATTATATATATATATATATATTTTTCCCCTGTCAAATGAAAACATATTGCTAAAATGAATTATTCTTTAATAGTAAGTAAAACTGAACTACTAGCCAGCTGTGAGGGCAGAAACAAAAAACAAACTTATAGTTGAGCCCTGATATTATAAATAGTGCTGTCAAACGATTAATCGCATCCAAAATAAAAGTTTTTGTTCACATAGTATATGTGTGTGTACCGTGTATATTTATTATGTATTTATAAATACACACCCATGCATGTATATATTTCAGAAAAATATGTTACGTTTATATATTAAATATTTGTATATATAATATAAATGATATGAATATAAATCTATACATGTAAATTAGGGATGCACCGATACCACTTTTTCCAGTACTCGCCCGACATTGATATTTTTTGTTTTTGGTACTTGTTATTGGTACCGAGTACCGATACCAATATTTTCATTGCATTTGTACATTTTTTAAATATTGGGTACAGAAACCAAAAGAGTATGTATAATGTTAGTTGGTAAACTTCATTTATCAAATACATAGTCAAACAAACATTTATTCAAACACCTTCAACATTTCTCACATTATCACATAAAACAAAAATTATTCATACAGCTGTCAATATTTACACAACCATCAATACTTTGTCGGGTGACCCTTAGCCTTAATGACAGCATATAGTCTCCTGGGCATGCTGTCAACCAGGTTCACGCAAACCTGAACTTCAATTTTTTTCCCAAACTCGGTCTAAATAATTTTTGGTCCCAAATTTGTATCAATTTTACTGGTAGTCCACTGTATGAAGAATTTTTGGGTATGATATATCACTGCAACAACGTTCATAGATCGGGAAGAAGGAGGCGGGAACCGGTGGACATTTAAACAATTTAATAAAATAAACAAACACAAGTACTGGCTTAGTACTGTAATCATGCGATTTGCTGTAAAAAAAAAATGCAGGGAACCACTCGCTATAAATCTCCTAACTGATATTTTCATAAATAGAAGTCGTGTTTTTTTCATCTGAAACGTGCAGCGATTTATTTTCCAAAGCCACTCATATAATGCAGAAACACTCATGAAGCAAGCAAAACACACGCAACGCGCACACGTATTTGTACTGGTGCAGAATGAGAGGGACAAGTACAGTACAGCCTAGCGCATTTCACACAGGCTGTTATAGTTTCACTTTCGCCAGAAAGTCGTGTATGCTTAAGGGTGAAAATAAATTACATTTATAGTGAATGCCCCTATAAATTGTCTTATATTTACGATTCAGTTTTAATCTAAATGATGCGTGCTAAGTGAGCGAACATCAATAAAGATCACACCACAGAAGTGCGCGTGCTCTTTCTCTCTCTTCCTCCCTACCAACCATTAAGTAACTTGTGCATTGTTTTACTTACTTTGTGACATATCCGACCCAACTACGAACTTTCCAGTGATGTCTGTGAGAAAGGGATATTCACTCGACAAGCTCGCGCATCTGTGCCGCCGCACGCTCAATCCACTCAGCGTGATTTGCTTACCAGCTGGCGCAAATCAGCTATACAGGCATTAATACTGAATGTTTTATATTTATTGCATACATATACTTCGTAGACATCTTTAATCTCTAATAACTCCAATCTGCTGTCTGTTGTCGATGTTTTTTGTCTGAATATGGCACTTATCACATGCTGTGTGGTATCGGTGTTTGGTATCGGGGCATTTTAACGAGTACGAGTACAGGAGCTCAGTATCTGGCCCGATAGCAGTATCGGTATCGGTGCATCCCTAATGTAAATACATGTAAATATTTTCAAAATATATACTGTATGTGTGTGTATTTATATATACATAATAAATATACACAGTACACAGATATATTATGTAAATAAAAACTTTTATTTTGAATGCGATTAATCGCGATTAATTTTGACAGCACTAATTATAAATGTTACAATTTCAGAGTCTTGAAGAATTTATTTTTATATTTTATTGATCTATGTTGTATGGTTCGTTTATCGTCTCTATCAGTTGCATGCTGCTGTGGCGGAGATGGAACAAGAAAAGTTTGACATGCAGAAGAAGCACACAGACAATATCCAGGAGCTGCTGGAGGACACCAATCAACGGCTCGCCAGGATGGAGGCAGAGTACAGCAGCCAGATGCAGGCCACAGTGAGTGCATTCACTCATACTTCAACACTGTTCAATGGAAATATTCAATGCCTTGCACTCTTATGTAGCTTCTATATACATGGGCTCAATTTCACATGTTGCATTCCGAAATCTATCAGAGCGAAATTTTAATGACATACATCTGCACAAGTGACATTCTGAGTGAGGATGAAACAAGGGTGCATCATCGTAGTGAGTCTTTCTTCAATGACTTTCTCTATCAAGTCATCTGCTGTCATGGCGGAACAACAGGCCCAGTTCCAGAATCAAATCACTTGTAATTTCTAAAAAAGAAACGGTCACTTCAGTTCATAATGATCTTGCAGAGTTCTGCTGTACTCTAATGAAAACATCCGTTATAATCAATGAAGCTGACTACACTGCACAATGACTTATTTACTTTGCATCTACTCTTTTGTTCTTTATAACGACTGGATACATGACCAAACACAGCACTAAACAAAAACTCAAGCATTTTGAGTGGTAAGTGGATTCTGACTGACTTGAACAACTCTGACTGGCCATAGCATACAAGAGATCAACAGACGTGTGTGATTGGCTGCAATGCTCAACATTCGCAAAAACCCGCCCTCTTTAGTTACTCTTGCTAAGTTTGACAAGCCATGCACTACACATCATGTTCTCACACCGTAAAAAATACATTACGGAGCAAAGAGGAAACTGACAACATGCCGACAGACAAGACAGAGCAGGTTACTTCTGGTATGAAACAAGATCTGAGCTTTCAAATTTTGTAATTTTTTTTTAAGAAATTCAAGCAATAAATACCATTTTGTTTAATTTAATGTGTCGTGACAGATGGTTGTATTGCCTCAGTTCAAGCAGCACATGAACCGACTGTTTTTTCATATTTACACGAAATAAACATGAATGAACATCAGAACGTATTTGATTTAAACCACGGGAAGACATCAATACACACCATTTTCAAGTTTAAGTCCACCAAAGTTAATCTACTCTCCTGTCTTACTTGTTTGTCGGACAAAATGGTGGATTCGGCATTATGATTGGTCAGATCGCCTGTCAATCAAGCTCTTTGCGAAGGGTCAATTGAGGGTGCTCTTGCTTTTGTTTGATGGTGCTATAGCATCTCCGTATAATCAGGCCTGTGGAGCAACAGTTTGAACAGTAAGACTTGTTTACAGCTGCAGACCTGGATTGCGTTTCCCAAAAGCATTGTTAGCTAACTATGGTCATTAGTTCCATTTAACTCTATTGGTAACGACAGGACTTGGGGCCATAGTTGTTTTTGGGAAACGCACCCTTGGACAGCAACACATCTGGTTTGATGGCATATACATTTGAAGAAAACTCTATCGCCCCCTTGAGTACTGAGGCTTGTTGCTGTCAGCACCATAGGAACACACACTTGTAACTTCCAACATCCGTTGGACAAGCATTTGTGTGCATTGTGTAGAGTACCATTCTTTGTTTTTGTCTTTTCTCCTCTTCTCTCATCTTACAAACTTTGTCTTGTGTGTGTGTGTGTGTGTGTGTGTGTGTGTGTGTGTGTGCATTCAGTGTGTGCCTGAAACAAAGCATGCCTTAGAGCCTTTGATTGAAGCCTTGAAGCCAGAGGGACCAATTCTCTTCTCTGCTTTTCTCATATCTCACACACTGTGTTGTGTGTGTGTGTGTGTGTGTGTGTGTGTGTGTGTGTGTGCATTCAGTGTGTGCCTGAAACAAAGCATGCCTTAGAGCCTTTGATTGAAGCCACCCCACTAGAGGGACCAAAGCGCTGCGGCGCTCTGAGATGAGCCGGGATGCGCGTCCCTCCGTGGCACAGGCCTAATGAGTTTTGCTTGTTACAAATTAGCATTCAGCGGCTGTCATACAGGTAAGGGCACACACTGAGACGGCCGGCCACGGTCTGTCAGCAGGGCTGAATTTAAGAGACTTCAAATACATTCCGACCCCACAGAGTAAGACCCTTCTTTAATAATTAAACACAGCACATTTCCAGGCAGGGCCCCAGATGAAAGGCCCTTCTGTCATTGGAAATTAGGTTCTCCCATTCTGTTGGTTTAGGCTGACCTCGCCAACCTCTCCACCCATAACCCCCCTCCTCTTGTCTTACCTCTTCTCTCCTCATAGGCTGCTGTTGTCAATATGTCAGCTGAGGTGAGATGCTGTGTGTTGTTTCTACTTTGCGTTTGATGTCTCAATACTCCAGCCTTTGAAAGCCTTTGTTTATCTTTCGTTCTTTCATCATTCTTTTGTGCGGCACGCTCTGGTGCTATCCTGATTTCTCAAAAAAGCTATTAAGTGGAGTCACACCATCCGCATTTCATATCTTCTGGACAGGCGAGATCGGAGCACCAGTGGGTGCTTGTCAGTTTACCTGTGGCTTCTTGCGTGGGAGCATGTCAAAAGTTGGCACAGCCGTTCTTCTGCTTATTATTCTTAACGTTCATTGGTGGCTTGATCGCCAAATTTTGAAGCGCACAACGGTGGTGCCAATGTCAGTCCTCAATAGAGGAAGCAACACATTGAATATTGATGACAAGATACATATTAATCACATTCAGGGCTCAATGGAGATTGATGACTTCAAATGCATTGATGTCATAGCACAGACTGTACCTGAGAGACGTGAACATCAGCCAGTCTAAGTGACACTGAGTGCATCCATTTGTCCAACTTCCATTTAAAAAAAAAAAAAAAAAAACTACACTCTTAAAAAAAAGGTTTTTATTGACATCTATGGGTCCATGAAGAACCTTTAACATCCAAGGAACCATTCCATTGCACAAAATTGTCCATTGTTGTTGTTTCTTGAAAGTTCATTTTGGGAACCAAAAACAGCCTTTTGGAACTTATATTTAAAGTCAACGAAATGTTGAACTTAAGCATTAAAATAGCGGGGTGTTTAAAGCTTAGAGCTGGTCAACCATGATGTCCTTTACCAAGACACTTAAACCCTGAATTTAATCAACATCGATCTAAATTAAGCTTGTTTTTGTCTTCTGTAGAGCAGTAGCTGAATCAAATTTGCTTCATAATTGATTAACTTTGCAACATTAACACTGTTATTTTCCTGTATATTACTGAAAAGCTTTTTTATACAACCTCTATTGTATAAATTACTATATAAATAAATGTGATTTGACTTGACCCTGTCATTGACATCTATGGGTCCATGAAGAACCTTTAACATCCAAGGAACCATTCCATTGCACAAAATTGTCCATTGTTGTTGTTTCTTGAAAGTTCATTTTGGGAACCAAAAACAGCCTTTTGGAACTTATATTTAAAGTCAACGAAATGTTGAATTTAAGCATTAAAATAGCGGGGTGTTTAAAGCTTAGAGCTGGTCAACCATGATGTCCTTTACCAAGACACTTAAACCCTGAATTTAATCAACATCGATCTAAATTAAGCTTGTTTTTGTCTTCTGTAGAGCAGTAGCTGAATCAAATTTGCTTCATAATTGATTAACTTTGCAACATTAACACTGTTATTTTCCTGTATATTACTGAAAAGCTTTTTTATACAACCTCTATTGTATAAATTACTATATAAATAAATGTGATTTGACTTGACCCTGTCTACAATGGATGCTAGGGGTGCGACATTATGGGTCGCCAACAGTAAGCAGATGCCAAGTTCTACATCCAACATACTCCTATCCAACTAACATGAAGGACAAATGGACAAACATTCACTCGGTAATAAGATAATTGTAGACCCATTGTAGACAGTGTAAGATCTAGAAAAAAAAATGTGTATGTATATATATATATATATATATACATATTTATTTATAAATATATAAATTATATATAGATATAAAATACACTATTTAAATAAAAAATATGAAAGATAAATAGAATTAAATTAAATAATTAAATGAATGATAAAATAGTAAAACAAATAAAAAATATATATATGTATATATGCATACACACACACAGTTTGAATATATAATATAAAAATATCTTAATAAATAAATTGAAACAAAGAAGCAAATGTTTAAGAAAAATTTAAAAAGATATATACATACACACAGATGCAAATGCATAACATGTATATCAAATATGTGGCCCCCGTTGAAAGCTTAACATGTGATCTAGTGTTATCATTGCAATATCGAATCTCAGTACTCAAGGGGAAGCTCATTTGATGAATTATCCTTCATTTACATATTTGACTCCCAAAGTAAAGCGCAAGCAATATACGTGTAACTCCTGATACAAAACAAAGCAAATATGATGACATTTTCAGTTTGCATTCTCTTAAAGAAGATTTATCCTGGAAAATTTAATTCCTCAATTCAGTATTCAGAAACGTGGTGGGACTTTGTTTCATTTCGCATACAAAAAGATTAGCTAATCTCAGCAAGGGAAAGTGATCATATACAAATTAAATTATTACAGCATTTTTGGTGGAAGTAACCTAGATTATTAGACTTCTGAAAAGTGTAGCTTCTGCCCCTAAAGAAACTAAAAGATAAACATAGTTTGAGCCAACAAAATGTATGCCTTATTAGATATGCATCTTTGTTTCATCAACAATTGTTGATCCGTATCTTCAGAGAGTGATGGCGTATCGGAAAGCAGATCCTCTCCACCTCTCTTTTGTGGAGTATGTAAACAGACTAAGCATCCTCCTGTCCACTGAGACGTGCTCGCAGATGAGGGCATGTGTGATTAAAAGGATAAAGACGTGTCCCATCTCATGCGCAGAGTTTGTCAGTAAGAAGGTGTTATCACAATCACATTTACATCAACAGCTGTTTCTGACTGACACTCAATAACAATTCCGAGTAATTCAGTAATTATGGCTGACCAGTTGAGATGTGTGATTGTGATTACTTAAATAGGTTTAAAGGTTTAGGTTTACATGTTTACTTAAATGTTTTTTCTCTCAGCCTCATGAAATAAGAAGAGAATTCATTTGACAGATCAAATTACTACACACAGCTTACCCCAAAACATGTGACATATTTTACCCAGCTGCTAATATTTTTGTAGATATTAATTAAGTAATAAGCCAGATCTTTAAAATGTATAATTATTGGTAACACTTTGTTTTACAGTGTCTTTGTTACATATGTAGTTACCATAGTAATAATGGTAAATTATACATAATTAATATGAAACTAACTCTTAACTAAACCCTGACTCTATTAGTCTTCATGTTGGTAAGTAAGAAGTGTTTATAACAGTAGGATGAGTTGTTGAATAGCTCAGGCTGTGAGCAGATGCTTTTACATGTTGGCATGTGCTATCAGGGTCAGTGTATTAATTACCAGCGTGCGTCATAGCACATGCCCAACTCTTTCAGATCATGCCACATTTCACACTGGGAGTTAACAAAGGCCTATTTTCCAGCATTTTGACACTGACGTTGCCATCAGAAAGCTGTACTTTTCAACACTGGCCACTTTCATCATCTGAGCCGTGTATCTTCAATCAATAATCTGTCATCATTCATATCAGCCTGCATTCCATCCGCCACGCACGGGACAGTGGCCTCCATTAACGATGAGACATGAGCATGTGTGTGTGTGTGTGTGTGTGTCTGCGCTCTGCTCAGGCAGGCTGTCTGGTTTTGGTTTAACAGCTCTTGCTGTCCCATGGAAAGTTTTCCCCTTCCTGTATTTTGTCAGATATGGTTGTCTCATTTTCAAATGAAGACCATCCTAGATGTTCTTTGAGGGCTGATCCATGCTTTGCTGCACATGCCTTTTTCATATTCAGTCCCAGCATGCTCTGGGTTGTGCTAAAGAACAGAGGCCCACAGGTGCATCAGATTTTAGGCTGTTTGAAAGATGATCTCAGATGATCTTTGAAGGTGGATGAGGATGGTGTGGTGGCCATGAAAGCGGTTAGAAAGCTGTTTAAACTCACTGTTACTGAACTGTTCAACTTTCACTATCACATCTACAGAAGAATTCCCCATTCAGGAGATCTTCACTGCCTTTCTCTGCTGTCTCTTTGTAGTGGAAATCAGTGTTGGGAAGCTACTGTGAAGCTGTAGTTTGTCAAGATACAAGCTACTCATAATTTAAAGTAGTTCAACTACACTTAAGCTGTTCTTTTGAAAAAGCTGTGAACTACCAGTCAAAAGTTTGAAATAATTAGCATATTTAAATGTTTTTGAAAGAAGTCTCTTATGCTCAGCAAGGTTGTATGTATTTGACCAAAAATACAGTAAAAACAGTAATGCTGTGAAATGTTATTACAATTTAATATAGCTGTTTTCAATTTGAATATATTTAAAAATGTAATGTATTCCTGTGAATATGCTAATATACTATTCTAATATGCTGATTTGCTGCTCAAGAAACATTGATTATTATCAGTGTTGATGTTTTTGCTGCTTAATATTTTTGTGGAAACAATGACACACTACCACTCAAAAGTTTGGGTTTTGAGTTTGTTTTTAACTGATAAACTTTGCAACATTGACACTGAACTGATTTGAATCAGCTTTGCAACATTAACACTACTTTGAACAATCTTACTGTATAAAGCACTATACATTAACTCTTTCCCTACCAGCATTTTCTTCAGATTTCACAAAATTTCATAGCCCCCAGAATATTTTGTTGTATAAATACAATACCATGAAAGAACAGAGCCTCTGTTTTTAAACAAAACAACCCATTTTATCGAATGTGGGTAAGTTTCATAGTTTCAAAAAGCAACATTTTTGAACAGAAACCTGAGAAATCACATTTTTTCTCTCAAAGACTACGTCCAAGTCAGATTCAGAACGATGATCAAATGGCTGGAGAAGCACTGACGGAAAATTATTTTCTTTGTCAAGGAAAGATTTAAAAAGAAAAAAAAATAATCCAGTGCTGTATTGAGCTATTTGAATAAACCATTCTACAGAACTTCCTCTGTCTTTTTCTCTTATCTTTCTTTTTCTGTTTGGTTCTTCTAGGAGCGGATGTTGCATGAGCTGGAGACTCGGGTGAAGCAGCTCTCAGTGGAGGTGGAGAATGGGAACCTGCTCCGGCAGAAGGTCACACAGGAGAAAGCCGAGTTAGAGATTCATATCGCCTCCATCAGCGCTGAGCTTCAAGAGGCCAACCACAGGTACAAGAAAACCACCTGATCATCCCGACAAGCTCAGATACAACTGATCACAGGTGCAGAGATTTGATGTAAAATCATAGCTCTGCTACAAAACAGATGTACGGCATCATAAACACACCTGACTTGAAGGCAGTGTTAAATATATCCTGAACATATAATGCAGTCGCACAATACATTGCAGTTAACTCAGTAAAATTAATTCAGTGCGATGGAGTCAAGAGATTGGAGCTATTGTGTTTTGTGATTTTTATCACTCTAATAAAAAGTTGTTTGTATGCTTTAGGTACGTATCCCTGCAGAGGGAGATGGAGCAGATGAGAGACCAGCATGAAGACGCGCTGCAGAAACTTCAGGCCAGACATAACGCTGACATGAGCCACTTCCAGCAGGAGCATGCCCTCTCTGCAGCCAAGGCATCTTTACTCACCGCTCACACCTACGCATGCTTTACTAATTTATTCCCTTCTAGCTAGAAGCTAGAAGTACGTAGCTAGCAAACTATCAGTATATCTAGAAGTTCTACTGCTCATGTAGCTGCAGTAGAAAATAAAAACTTGTGAACTAGTGATGTAAAATAATTTTGTAGTCAAAGTCTACTACCGTTACAGTTCAGTCCCAAAAATAATTGAAATAGTGTACATATATGTATACTACTAATACACTACATTTAGTATACTTAACTACATAAGATGGACCTGGAAATATACTTAAAGGGGTCATATGATGCTGCTAAAAAGAACATTATTTTGTGTATTTGGTGTAATGAAATGTGCTTATGCGGTTTAAGGTTCAAAAAACACATTATTTTCCACATACTGTACATTATTGTTTCTCCTCTATGCCCTGCCTTTCTGAAACGCGTCGATTTTTACAAAGCTCATCGGTCTGAAATGCGAGGTGTGCTCTGATTGGCCAGCTATCCAGTGCGTTGTGATTGTGAATACCTCAAGCGTGTGACGGAAATGTTACGCCCCTTACCATACTGTGATGCCGTGTCCCGGCCGGAGCGACGAGACAAACCAAGAAAACCCATTATAAACGAGGCGTTTGTTGTATCCAGTGGGGACATAATTACGGATTATAATGACTTATACTGTCTTTTTACGCATTGCGTTGCATCGCGTCGCGTAAACATAAAACCATGTCTGCATTTGTGATCGGAGAAACGACAAACAACAAGCGCTACTCTACACTGCTCAAAACTCGCGTTTGAATCGTCCGTGGCAAATCCTTTAAATATGAAAACGTACTTACAGGCTGTGAACAGCCGGCATTGTAGTCTACTCTCCCAGGATCAGGAAACAGTGCTCCATAAAATGCGCTGCACACATCTGAATATTTGGGTTAAACGGTTCTGGAACAGTGTTGTAAATACAACTTAACCACTGATTTCTAGTTGTGTCCTCTTTTGGAAGACCAAACAAAGTAGTTTCGCATTTGCAACGAAACACACAGCGTCTTCACAACATGGCGGCGACAGCAACAATAAAGTTACACCACCTTTCTTTGCGTGAACATTTGGGTGGTGTTATGCAAATCTTCCCACATTGTGACGTAGACATGTGGGGGCGTGTTTAAATTAGGCGTTTAGGAGGCTGGGGACGAGTCTTAGCTTTTATAAAGAATATCTCTTTGGGTTTGAGACTTTAGTCTTTGCAACTCTAGGGATCTTATCTATTCACGAACGGCTTGTAACACCCCAAAGAGCAAGGAAAACTTGAAATCGCATCATATGACCCCTTTAAACCTTTCTAAAATGTACTTAATAGAATTATACAGCTCTCTACTGAAGGGTCTTTGCATCAGGTGGATGTTTGTGATGGAAATACTGTGTAGGAAGGCAGTCTACTAGGTTTTGGAACTGAGCTAATGCCAGTGTGTTTGATATCAGAGAGTGTCTGTAATCCTACAGTTTTATAGCATGTTTTGAATGTAGTTTGCTTTGTTGTCAGGCATCGGAGATGATCGAAGATTTGGAGCAGACTGTGATTCACCTCAAACAGCAAATACAGGAAGCTGAAAATAGGAGACAGAAACAGTTCAGGGTCAGTTGATCACACTTTTTACACCCTTTCATACTCACAGTGAGGCCGTCAGTCACTTTATCCTTGTTTGTAGAGTGTTCATACTGCTGTTTGCCCTCGTCATTGGTGGGATTCACAACTTGAAATGCAGGAACAAACATCTGGCTGCCGTATTTTGCAGAATGCCAGTCCACTGACTTCAGTTCCATTGATAGTCTCTCCATCACATCACTGCTCATTTGCAAAATGTTAAAAGTTCAAAAGATTTGCGTTCCAACTCTTAATGAAAATGAATAGCTATTTGCTTTGTCATGCAAATCATGCAAGTGAACGGGCCATAAAGTCAACATGGAATCAAAATTGACCCTGGTCTTATTATGAACAATTTACCAGTGCATGTTGTTCCAGAGAAAACAAATATTTGTCTTTATGATCTTTTTATCAATACATAGCTTGTGTTGCTTTCCTTATCATCAGGCCCTCTGATTTTTCAACCCCTCCCATCCAACCACTTGTCACAGAGTTATTTTTCAACATTAAATGAATTCACCATGTATAAATCTTTTTTTTTTTTTACTTTTTTTTTAATTGAAAACCTGTTTCAATCAGAAAGATGCCATATTACAGAAGTAAATTGGGTTGCATGAAAACCTTGTTTTGATTTTTTTATTCAGGACCAAGAGAATAAGATGCAGCAAGAGATAACAGACCTACAAAATATCACTGACAAAAAGGTAATTCATTTATTCACAAAAATCAATATTATATTTATGTTTTTAGTAATTTTATGCAGTTGCCAAAATGCTTAGACATGCAATTATACAACAAAATATCAAAGCAAGTGGTCACTGATTATAAAGAAATATACAGACATACACACACACCCATTCTGTGCCCGCTCTCAGTGATTGTGGTTTATACATTTACAATTACACATTTTTGCATTGCATTTTTTATGCTTAATAATACCAAATGTTAAACATTGACAGTGCTAGTTATTATATTGAGGCAATTGTAATAAACGTAAGCATCAGTTTAAGCAGGTTTAGGTTTTTAGGTAGACATAAAAGCATTTGCTCTGCTCTGCTCTCAATTGCCCTAGTTCACTTTGATGATGTGGCTGTAAAATGTAGGCCCTGTTTCCACCTGGTATTAAGATTTTCAGTGTTTTCAGTGAGCCAATCACAAATGGTCAGGTGAAATGCAATACCATTCATATTATTAACATGCATTTCAAACGTGTATCCTTTGATCACTTGTGGATGGCGAGTAGGCAGAGTTTCACACTTTCAGGGCGCTTAGTGTTTCCACTAAAAATGTGATGTGGTCACATGCATTTTTTTCTACCCCTGTATGTAATTTCAGGGATCTGATCAAGAAACATTTTAAACACTCTTTACACCTGTATTTAGCACTGATCACTTGTGATCGGATCACCAGAAATGCCAGGTAGAAGCAGAGACCAGTTGGTGTTTGTTAAAGCACAGCCTCATGAGGGTCCCAAGTGTTCCCAAATGAAAGGGGAGCATAACTGGACAGTCATAGTCCGACCTGATAGCCCCACTAATTATAAGACTTATAGGAGCTGCTGCCAAGCGGCTCCCTTTCAAAAGTCTTCAAAGCTTCAGAACTGTCATAAAAAGGCTGCTTTAATAATTGGGCCGACACAATCAGGTGAAGATAAGTTTTAAGATCAGTCTCAGACACCTGGCTGCTGCCTGCCACCTCACCTTCAAAGGGCCGGTCTGGTCATAAAGCGGGATGGTGAGGCGGACCTCTGTCAAGGGCACATCTGCAAAGCAGAGGCCGTATACACCTGCAGGCCAGCCGTCTGCCAGCGGCTGCTCACGGCTGACCTCTGACCTTTAGAAAATTAGATCAGCTCTGTTTAGTTATGCTGAAGGGCGGGAGCTGATAAAGCATGTTGAGTGATTGACACTTCTGCTGTCCTGTCACAGCTGCAAACGCTTCAGGCCGAGCTGGAAAAGGAGCGAGCCAACAGCAAGAGGAAGATGAGCAAGATGGAGGAATCACTCAGGTACATCCGGCTTATCTGAGTGACTCTGAGTGACACTAAGTTCATTATTACAGCTTTATTACAAATATATATATATATATATATATATATACACACAATATATATATATATATATATATATATATATATATATATATATATTTATTTATTTATTTATTTTTCAATGGCAGTGTACACACGAGTATTTTTAGGCACTCAAAATTGACTGTTTTTTTTTATTTATTTATACCTGGTCTCATTGTCATATTTTTGTCAGCGCATGAAATTTATTTCAGACAAGTTTACAAATTTTATTAAGATAAAATTACTCTTATGTAAAAATTTTTTTTATAAATAAACTAAATTCATGAAACAAAATAATAAAATACTTTTAGAACAAAAATATTTTAGCTTAAATAACTTTCCTTTTTCAATAAGGATAAAATGAAGTCCTGCCCTGCAAGCCACTGTTGAAGTGAAATGCTGTTCTAAAGTACTACATACTGCTTTAATAACAGTACACTGCAGTGTTATTTTAGTATCATTGAGATACTATTATATTTTTTATTAATATTTTGAATCAGTTTTTGTTTTGTTTGTTTTTTGTTTTTCATTTTACTTAGTTTTATTTTTTTTATTTTTTTGTATATATATATATTTATATATATATATAATGTTATATTATTTCAGTTAAAGGGTTAGTTCACCCCAAAATGAAAATTCTGTCATTAATTACTCACCCTCATGTCGTTCCAAACCCTTAAGACCTGCGTTCGTCTTCGGAACACAAATTAAGATATTTTTGATGAAATGTGTGAGCTCTCTGACCCTGCATAGACAGCAACACACAACTGTAATGTTCCCAGGTCAGACATCAGTGGCTCAACTTCAGTTTTTTGCGAAGCTACGGGAATACTTTTTGAGCGCAAAGAAAACAAAAATAACACAATTTATTTAACAATTCTTCTCCCCCGAGTTACGTCTTCCACCATTTTGGAGAGTACCCAAGAGCGTAATTGACGTAATCAGCGTTGTTTACGTTCGGGGGAGAAAGTGCGTGCGTGAACGTAATCTGCGTAATCAGCGTTGTTCACGTTCAGGGGAGAAAGTGCATGCATGAACGTAATCTGCGTAATCAGCGTTGTTTACGCTTAGGGGAAAGCGTGCGTATGCATTGTGATACTCTCTAAAATGACGGAAGATGTAACTTGGGGAGAAGAATTGTTGAAAAAAAATTTATTTTTGTTTTTTTTGTGCTCAAAAAGTATTCCCGTAGCTTCGTAAAACTGAAGTTGAGCCACTGATGTCACATGGACTGTTTTACCGATGTCCTTGCTACGTTTCTGGACCTGGGAACATTACAGTTGCGTTGCTGTCTATGCAGGGTCTGAGAGCAAAAATATATTAAAGGGGGGGTACAATGCTGTTTCATGCATTCAGTTGTTTACACTGTTAAAGATTCTCATGCTAAGCATGGACAAAGTTTAAAAAAAAACAATATCGATCAAACAATCGTACTTCCGGGTTCGTACAAGTTTCTGAGAGTTTTTTTCGATCGTGGCTCTTCATGACATAGACGAGGGTGGAACTCCTTATATGGGCATTTATCCCATGCACACATCGACCAGAGTGAGATCGCAGCCATCAACGCGCTTCATCCGGCGGCAGCGCTGCACGGGACTTGCTCGGGAAGAATCTCTCCAATCCACAGAAGTGTGTTTTTGGTTGTAAGGGAAAGATAACTTTGTTCAGCTTCCTAAAGAACCCAGCGTTATGTAAACAGTGGATACAGTTTGTTTTTCCAGGGCAGCAACGGAGTTTCACAAGTGTGTTTGTTGACGAACGTTTTATAAACAAGGCCCAGTTCGACGCTGGATTTGCACATCGTTTGATACTGAAAGATGGAGCGGTCCCAGCTATAAAAGATCCCGGTCATGATTCAGAACTGCAGACGGTAAGTGAAACGGCATCAAATGTCTGTTTTGTTGGCATTCGGTGCCCAAGTGCTCGTCACTCTTTAGCTCCGCCCACGGCTCCGCTCATTCTCCGGAGAGAATCGTAAAGCTGTATCTTTCTTTTATAAATATGATAAAACTAAAGACTTTTTGGAGATATGAAGGATGCAGTACTACTCTATAGGTACTCAAGATTAACATGAGATTGGGTGAAACTGTGTGTGTTATGCCCCCTTTAATTTGTGTTCCGAAGACGAACGAAGGTCTTACGGGTTTGGAACGACTTGAGGGTGAATAATTAATGACAGAATTTTCATTTTGGGGTGAACTAACCCTTTAAGGTTACGTTATGTTTATGGTTCAGTTATGTTATTTTATATTTAAAGTAACTTTTTTATGGTTTTAATTTTAGTTTCAGTTTTAGGGTGCTTTCACACCTGCCTCATGTAGTTCGGTTGAATCGCACTAGAGTTCGTTGTCCCACTTGGTGCGGTTCGTTTGGGCAGGTGTGAATGCAGCAAATGCACTCGGGTGTGCACCAAAAGTGGACCAAACAAGCGTACCGAGACCTCCTTGAAGAGTTGGTCTCGGCCCAATTGCAAACGGAGTCTGGAGCGGTTCGCTTGTGGTGAGAAAGCAATCCGACCCAACAAACAAAGTGGTGTCATAATTCATAACGGGAATTATGTTATGTAAAAAGCAGCAGACAGTGTCTGATTCTGTGAGTGAGTGTATTTGTTATTGCGGTTGAAAACCAAAGAGCACCTCTTCATATTAAAACGTTGTGTAATTAATTCATTACAAGAATGCTGTCCGGACAAAGCCTTGAATCCTGCTGGCTGTAACTACATTATATATATATATATATATATATATATATATATATATATATATATATATATCTTTCACACCTGCCTCATGTAGTTCGGTTGAATCGCACTAGAGTTCGTTGTCCCACTTGGTGCGGTTCGTTTGGGCAGGTGTGAATGCAGCAAATGCACTCGGGTGTGCACCAAAAGTGGACCAAACAAGCGTACCGAGACCTCCTTGAAGAGTTGGTCTCGGCCCAATTGCAAACGGAGTCTGGAGCGGTTCGCTTGTGGTGAGAAAGCAAGAAAAATTAGAGCGTGAATGACGGCTACATTCGTAAGTGTTTGCGTGTGCCAGCCCGTGGAACGAACTTGTCTATCCATCTTGATGAATGACACAGAGGAACGTAAACAGGTGAACTCTGTTTGACCAATGACCAATGAGAGGACAGCTTTACTCACATGTGACCTGCATAAACCCAGTTTGGTATGCTTTGCAATGTTGCCTTGTGAAAGCGAATCGAACCAAGAAGAAAATGCAACATTGTAACAAATTAAGTCCCTGTTTCGGAACAAAGCAAACGATCTACAAGTCTGAAAACAACCTTAGTTTTAGTTAACTATAATAACCCAGCTGCACTGTTACAATAAACCTTGCATAATATTTACAATGATTATAATGTTTACAATTATTTATTATACTGTTATTTGGATACACAAATGCTGATTCTCATTTGAGTGTACAAGGGCAATATTTGGTCAGTCTTGCCTCCCTGACTACTCTGAAGCCGTGATATCCAGCAGTGCTCTAGTATTGTTGTGTGCTAGCAGAGACCAGTAAAATGTGAACAATGCTGTGGTCTGGACTGGATTATGGGGCTGTGGAAGAGGCTCTGCTCTAAGTCCTGTTTTGGGAAGGCCATCTCCTGGCCCACAACAGAGTCCTTAGATGTGGAGCTAGCGTGGGGTTACTGCCTGTGCTCCCGGAGCCCGTTCCCAACCACAGGAATGTAGCGGGAGATGTGGAAGTGGTTAGGATGGCGTTCTGAGGAAGCTCGCAGGGTTTGTGTGCCGGGTGGAATCGCACACTTCAGGTTAGATGCTGTTCGAGTTCGTCTGGCCTCGCTTTTTCACTGTCACTGTCAAGGAAAATGAGCAAAACTCCCCTGACATGCTGTGTGCCACGTTCAACATACCCACCAGGCGCAGATGTGCGATTATTTACAGTGTCTAAACATTGGTGGAAAAACTCCCATTTAGGTTAAAGAATGACATCAGGCTGGACTCGACCCACCGATGAGCTCATTATTTGCTGTTTGTTTGTTTGGCCCTTGTCCTGGTGCATCACGCACTCTTGGCAGTAACTGTACGTGTTTAATTAGATTTCAGTCATTAACTCTGCCAGTGGACATGTGACATCATCATCATCATCTCCTGGAGCACAAGACCTGGTCCTGAATTAATAGTTTTTACAGGAAAACATTTCCATGACATACTTTCAGTTTTTTTTTTGTATGCTGTCGCTTTGTTCCAGTATAAATTGAAATGGGTTTTCATCAACACATTTTTGGAATGGAAAGCAGAATAAGAAGAGGTAGTGTAGAATATGTGCCTTTCTCTAGAGATGGGTCGGTTTCTTTTGTTTGAGGAACCGCATTACAGTATAAGATACTGTACAGGCAGTTTGGTAACACTTTAGTATAGGGACCAACTGTCACTATTAACTAGATGCTTATTAGCATGCCTATTATTAACATATTGGCTGTTCATTAGTACTTATAAAGCACGTATTCTGCATGACCATATTCTACACTCCTAATCTTACCCAATACCTAAACTTAACAACTACCTTACTAACTATTAATAAGCAGCAAATTAGGAGTTTATTGGGGCAAAATCATAGTTAATGGTTTGGTAATAGCGAAAATTGGACCTTAAAATAAAGTGTGATAGGCAATTTTATTCATTTCATTATTAAATGTGTCAGTGTGGTCTTTTATATCAAATTCTTAAATTTAAACAATGAATTGAATCAATCAGAATCCTATAGGCTGTTACCAATATAGAATGCTGCCAAGGTTCAAGGTGGACTTGAACTTTCACAGCGAATGCAAACATTTTTCACACAAGCTTGTTTCCACTCTCCTGGATTCACATGCGTACAAGTGGAAGTCAATAGAATGAAAAGTGTAGTGGGACCGGCCCTTTTGTTTGGTACGTATGCGCGCCAAACCGAAAGACACTTACAAATGTGTAC